AATAAATTCATAATGTACATATTTCTGATTGAAGCTAAGGGCATACAACTGTCTAACAGTTCCCACTTGCACTTAGGTCCAATCTGTTATAAGCCGGAGTCCCATACTTTCCACGTGTTTCTCAAACACTTTCTGTGTCAGTGGCTTAGTCAATGGGTCTGCTACATTCTTAGCTGATGCTACCTTCTGAATCAAGATGTCCCCTCTACCAACAATCTCCCGGAGTACGTAGTACTTCCTCTTGATGTGCTTCGACTTCAACTGGGCTCGTGGCTCCTTAGCCTGAGCAAGTGCTCCACTGTTGTCACACAACAATGGGATGGGCGATGTGCTGGACGGAACTACTCCCAATTCGTGAACGAACTTCTTCATCCACACAGCTTCACTTGCAGCAATGTATTCGGCCTCGGTTGTGGAGTCTGTTGTGGACCCCTGTTTGCTACTTTTCCAACAAACAGCACACGATCTTATCGTAAATACATACCTAGATGTAAACTTTCTATCATCTGGATCCGACTGGAAATCCACATCTGTATACATTTGGATCTGTAGTGAACTACCATCGAATACCAAACAAAACTCTTTTGTCCTTCGAAGGTACTTAAGTATGCATTTCACAGCAGTCCAGTGCTCCTGCCCTGGGTTAGCCTGGAATCTACTTACTACACTCACTGCCTGGGCGATGTCAGGACGAGTGCACAGCATGGCATACATGATGCTCCCTACGGCTGAGGCATAGGGAACGTCTTTCATGCTCTCGATCTCCTCAGAGGTCTTTGGAGACATCTTCTTGGAGAGATTGGCTCCATGCCTGAAAGGAACATTTCCTTTCTTGGAGTTTCCATGTTGTATCTTTTGACTATTTTTTCGATATAAGCAGATTGAGATAATCCTAGTATCCGCTTCGATCTATCTCTATAGAGTCGAAGACCCAATATATAGGAGGCTTCTCCAAGGTCTTTCATGGAGAATTGTTGTGATAGCCATACTTTTATCGTAATTAACATTCCTACATCATTCCTAATGTGTAGGATGTCATCAACATACAGAACCAGAAACGTAACATTGTCACCACTGGTCTTCCTATAAACACAGGGTTCATCCGGATTCTGCTCAAAGTCAAACTTTTTGACTATAGAGTCAAACTGGATGTTCCAACTTCTAGAAGCTTGCTTGAGTCCATATATGGATCTATTTAACTTACATACCATGTGTTCCTGACCTGCAGCTACAAAACCTTGCGGTTGCTGCATATAGATATCTTTAGTAAGATCTCTAATCAGGAACGTAGTTTTGACATCCATCTGCCAAATCTCATAGTCATAGTAAGTTGCTACAGCTAGCAGGATCCTAATGGATTTAAGCATGGCCACGGGCGAAAAAGTTTCCTCATAGTCGATGCCTTTTTTTCTGAGTGTACCCTTTCGCCACCAGTCGAGCTTTGTAGGTCTCAACCCTGCAATCGGGGCCCTTCTTCCTCTTGTAAATCCACTTGTAATCAATTGCTTTTACCCCGAAGGGCGGATCTACTAGAGTCCAGACTCCTTGGTCTCCATTGAGTCCATCTCAGCTCTCATGGCATCTACCCACTTAAGGAAGTCTATGTCCAACATAGCTTTCGCATAAGTTACGGGATCCTCCTCACTAGTCAAGGTTTCAACCAAGTAACTATCCAGATCGTAACCAAAACGGACCGGTGGCCTGGACACCCGGGTAGATCTTCTAGGTTGGTCACTACCTRGAACTTGTGGGACACCTCCCACTGCATCTAAGCTCTCCTCATCAAGAACAATTTCCTGACGAAGATTGTCCAGGATGTAATCATTTTCCAAGAATTGTGCATTCCGACTGCAGAACACCTTCTGCTCACTTGGATCATAGAATAGGTAGCCCACTGAACCCTTTGGGTAGCCTATGAATAGGCAATGGATGGTCTTGGATTCCAATTTCTCCGGATTCGTTCTTTTAACGTGAGCCGGACAACCACAAATCTTCAAGTGTCAAACACTTGGTTTTTTCCAATCCAAAGCTTATAGGGAGTCTTAGGAACCGATTTGGTTGGAACCCGGTTCCGCACGTATATCGCAGTCTCTAATGCGTATCCCCAAAAGGATGTGGGTAACTCTGRATGGRTGAGAAGTGACCGGACCATATCTAATAGGGTCCTATTCCTCCTCTCTGAAACACCGTTAAGTTGTGGTGTAGCAAGAGGAGCTAATAGTGATACTATCCCAT